AAGAAGACATACACGCTTCTAAGTGCATAGTGTCTGTGCGGCAAAGGGGCATTCTAAATACTCTGAAAAACTGAAAGATCACACGAGAGGTTGGGGGTAGGGAAACAGAGAGGGAGACCCATGGTTTACCCTCTACATGCTTAGCAGTGCAGTGGGACTATACCTGTATGACCAATGATGAAATTCCTGTATCCTGCCCACTGCTACTAGTACTTGTCAAAGATAGTATTGTTATATAATAATAAAGAGCTACATTCCAGATTGCTGAAACTATTAACATTTTAGATTCTACTATACTGAAAAATCTTGCCAACAGCCTAAATCTTGTCTCTTCTGACTATCATCTCTTTGGATCACTCAAGAAGGACTTTGTAATATTTTTGATTTGTTACAAAAAAAAAAAAAAAAGATGCATTTGTTCAACAAATACTTTTGAATAAATAAATTGTGAAAATAAGAATACAGATAATTTTTGATATTCTCTCAAAGATCTAAAATCCCTAAAAATTAACACCATAAAAATATAGCAGATGGCCATAAGGATAGTGTTACGAATTTTGTACATAGATAGATGATTTTATTGCAAATATATGTGAAATTGTATTTTTCTGTATGATGAATGTAACATGAAAATCTAGAGAAGCGAAACTTGCTGGAAAAGTAAGAATCTAAGGGCAAGTCTATTTATTTATCACTGGCTTTTGCACTAAATTGGCAAGATATCGCAAAACTGTTGCCAGCTTGGTGACTAATTTTTGTCACTAAATTTGGTAAGAAGTCACCAGATCTGGTGACCATTTGGCGACATTTTTGTCCAGTCGCTGTATAACTGTAATGGATATCGTAACTGTAATTGATACTCTATGTAGTTTAACCATAATTCAGCCCTCGTAAAAGTACTAGAAATATCTCAGCAGCCAGGTGAAGGCCGGACAGACCATTTGCTCTCAGTTGTTAGTTCAGTACGAGTCTTAGATATCTCCAGGTTAGCTTCACTCTTTAGATGTGCTCTGCATTGCACTGTGTTTAACAGAGTGTACTTTGCTACTGTGAAGAGATCTACGACTATTTTTGTGGAAAGTTCCAGAAATCTGAAGTGTTTCTTTTGATTAAATAAACTTTATCAAATTATCATCGAAGCTGACTGCATTAAATCTATTACGAACCTGTATGCATGCAAATATTTGTTGTCAGAAATGGGATTGAATAATCATGACAAGAGTGATAAAGGAGCAACTAAGACAGCTACTGACTGCCTTTGTTGCATTCCAAGAAACAATGGAAGGGCCCACCAACTCCATCAAAGAAGGAATGAAAACTGGCCAAGATTCTCTTAAAGAAGATATGAAGTTCTTCAAGAAGTGATGGAAGCTTGTCAAGAGGAAATGAAAAGAGAAATTAGCTGCATAATAGAAAACAAATTCGAGGCTACGGAAGGCAGAACAGACATGATTGAAAACAGGGTTAGAGAAATTAAGAAAGAGTTTCATCCGTCAAAGAACAAATCAAAGACAGAGTTTCTGCTATCACTAAAGAAGTTGAATACCCAGAAGAAAGTAACAGCAGGAAGCAATTCCAATGGGTTTTAATTTTTACCCAGGCCCTCTTGTTCCTTTCTAAAGCTATCCACATATGATGATAAGACCTCCTGGCAGGTGCATAAGACACAATTTTCTATAGTGGCATACACGAATGGATGGGATTACCAAGATAAGGCCTGTCTTTTTGCCACTTCTCTTAGAGCACATGCAGAGGATATCCTTCAAACTCATCCCGAAAACTAGAGGCTAGTCATTGAAGCTCTGTCTGATGCACTAGCGCTGCACATTAAGGAGAAGTGCTTAAAAGAATATAGCAGGCTTCAATTTTAAACCCTGTTAACAGAAATGCAGAGAAACACTCCAGGAGCATGTCACAGATACTGAAAGGCTATCTCACCCTTTTGGAGTGCTTGAGAGAAACAAGAGAAATCCTGTCACTGCTGTACTTCATCGATGGCATCCAGGATTCTGAAATACAGAAACCTCTGTGAATAGCGGATGTCAAGCACTTCAACATACACCATAAAATTCAAGGCAGCGTATCAAGTACCTCATAGAGACTGACACCCATTCAGATTTCTTGATGTAAAGGACCCAGTGGATCAAATGACCGCTTGTATAGACAATTTAACCAGACAAGTCAATGCCTTAAGATGGAATATGAGGGACAAGAAACCGACCCCAAAGTTCTTGAACTGCAGTGTTGAAGGCCACACACAAAGAAACTGCAGAAAACCTCAAGGCATGGAAGACCCTGATATCAGAAATATAGCAGAATGCACGTCTAAACAATGCAGACAGGGGTGCTGCTGAACCTGTCTTTCAAGATGTTTTCTTCTGCTTGTCTTCTGACATAGGCTGAACCAGTTGCCCACAGCTTAGAATTGTTACCAGTTTTTAAAATAGGGTAAAGATTAGGTAGATTAAGAGATAATATGGTAGGTTAAGAGAAGAGATGCCTTCATGGAAGACTTTTAAAGAAAATATGAATAATTTTAGTGTGTATTAAAAATAATGCATATAATTTTCACTCAATTTATATTTATACATATTTTTTACATAAAAAATCTGATATATGCTAAATCATTGAAAGTTATTTTACTCTAAAATGCAGAGAAAATAAAGATTTTCCCATGCCAAAAATGAAAAATATTGAATATAGATGAGTATTTATGCTTTTAAAAATATGCATTTGCCTTTAATTAAATACATAAATATTTATTAAATTATCTATAAATGTATTTGCAAATGAAAGATTTATTCATTCATAACTTCATGTGAATATTACTGTCTAGTTAATGAATTTTATCTAAATTTATAGTGATTATAAATATTATCTAAATAATGAACTTAACATTTAATTGCAAACATAAATTTAAATGCTGTTCACAAATATATTTATATAACTATTTAAGCAGGAATTGTTCATACTAGAAAACAATTTATTAAAATGTACTGTAAAGCTGTATAGGAGATGTGCACATATCAAAGTAATAAAGTAGGATTTTAAATTCATGAGTCAAAAGAATAAATTATTTTCTTTCATTTTATAATAATCCAGTTGCAAGTTTTAAAAAATATTAATAACCCCCTTTTTTCATTCCTTCCCAAAAATTCTCATAGAAAGTTAAGCACATGGAAATCAGCAGCAGTACTTTTGATTTGGAAGGTAAATATTTCCCTGTCTCAGAGCAGATTAAAAGCAGACGTACAAATTATGAAATAACAAGGGAATAGCCTATATCGCTTCTGTTCATTCAATTCAGATTTTGATTCTTTGAAGTCATCAAAACATTTAAAGTCTATTATATGAGATGGTTAATTGTGTATCTGAATTGTGCATAGGCTAAACAGTCAACTATCCATTAAAGACTTGGACACAAATCAGTGTTGTAGATGAATGTTAACGAATCTTGGATTGACATTTCCATGGAGGAAGAAAGAAATGGAGAGGCCCAAACTAATTTTTCCTATACACTGCCGTGAAGCACCGACATCCTCTCCTTGTTTATCAAAACATTCAATGACTTGCCATTGAGATTTACATGTTTTGACATGTTCAGAGGTAAATATTTTGTAATTACATCATAAATATAAGTATAAATGTATTAATTTTCTTTTTCTACAACATTTCACAATTCTAACTATGTGAGAGTATAGATTTTTAAACATTGTTTCACTTTGAACACAATTAAATTCTATACTTTTCCCATACTCAGTTCTAACTTGAATGAAATGTCTTAACAAGTTTTTACTAATGATATTAGAAAGAAATTTTAAGGTAATTCAATTTTATTCAGTTAACAATTACAAAAAGGTGCCCTAATTTGAAATAAACCAAAGAGAGCATCAATTATAGAGTGATAATGATTTTTGAAAAGATGCCTCAGAAGCTGAAAATCATCTGACATCTGAGAAAGTATTTGAAATCCTTTTGAAATAACAGAAAAGAAAAAAAATGTATGATTTTAATATTAATAATACAATAAACTTTTATTTTATTTTATTTTATTTATTTATTTATTTTTGTAATTGTTAACTGAATAAAACGGAATTACTTTAAAATTTCTTACTAATATCATCAGCAAAAACTTGTTAAAACATTTCCATTCAAGTTAAAACAGAGTATGGGAAAATATGGTATGGATATAGTAAGTATGGGTATAGCATTTAATTGCATTCAAAGTGAAATAGCATTTAAAAATTCTTTCACATAGTTAGAGCTCTGAAATATTGCAGAAAAAGAAAATATGTACATTTATACTTATATTTATGATGTAATTACAAAATATTTACCTCCGAACATGTCAAAACCTATAAATCTCAGTGGCAAGTCATTGCATGTTTTTTGACAAACATGTCACTGCTTCATGGGAGTGTATGGGAAAAATTAATTTGGGCCTCTCCATTTCTTTCTTCCTCCATGGAAATGTCAATCCAAAATTCTCTAACATTTATCTACAACACAGATTTGTGTCCAAGTCTTTAATGGATAGCTGACTGTTTATCCTCATACAGTTGTTCAGATGCACAATTAATCATCTCATATAACAGACTTTAAATGTTTTGATGACTTCTTGATCTTCTGTTGAAGGAAACTGGTTGTGCTTGGACCCCCCCCCCCAAAAAAAAAAAACTTTAAAACTTTTATACTTGACTTGATTAAAGTAGCAGAAGAGTAACTGGGTGTATCATCAAAAAGAAGTATTACTTTAAATGGAATTTATTTAGCCGGGCAATAATACTCAAATTTGTTTATCAGTGATGTAAAACCATTACAAAACAGAAGCTGTCATCTGGGCTATACCTAAGTTGGGATATCATTGTATTATCAAACTAGACTACCATATTATGTAACTACAACAATATAGCAGATAAACAAGCAAAGCAAAAGATAATACATAATTTTAAATTCCGATATCATAAATAAGAAATATGACAGAAGCTTTCTCCTCTTACTGTTTGCCGCAGCATTCACATTTGCATCGTTAATTGCTTCAGCAGAAGCATCTATTCCAATGCACCTCTTAACCTTACGTGAAAATGACAAGCTAAGAGGACCTAAAAATAAAAATAATTTTTTATTACAAATGAGAAGGTATTAATTTTTTTCTGATACTTGATAAAACAGATTCATGTAACAAAAGCAATTTTAATATAAACAATTTATTTTTCCATTAAAGCCATACCGCTGTAGCGATGCATAAACAGTCAGGGGTAGTGTTTCCACTTTATTTAAAATTTTAGACTAAGTATGAATAAAAAAAGTACTAGAAAGAATATTCCATATATTTGACATTGTTCACAGGTTGTTAATTTGGGGATAAAGTTCATAAAAAGTTTTCTTTCCAAAGGAAGTGAAAATCAATTCTTGAATGAGAAAAGCAGTCTTTAAAATTCCCTCCGATCGCAGTTGGCCATTACGAGCAAAGTGATATCAGGTTGGCAGTGCATAGCTGGCAACCAATTCTTTTGGGAGAGATACAGGAAGACGATCCTGACAAAGCAAGTATAAAATGTTCTTGGCAGAGCTAGCAAATCACCAGAGAAGAAAACTCTCTTTTTCACTGACATTAACTGGAGCTGCACTCATCATTTCTGCTCCTAATTTTTTGGGTGTGTCTTAGATTCTTACTTGCCCAAAATTTTCAGTCTCTCTCTCAAATGGCAAGTGTACTCAGATTATTTGCAGTATAATACTGTAGGCCTAGGAATTTCCATGCTTCAACTTGGAACACAATACCGGGAGGGGGACGGGGGGCTACATATAATAGGGCTAGCCAGCGATAGGCAATCAATGCATAATTCATATACAAATAGATAAGTGGAAACTTTGAGCAAGAGATTCCCAGTTTTTCTCATGAATGAAACAATGGCCTCCCTTGGGCCACCATGAAAAGAAACAGACGTGAGAATGATACATGAACATAGGCCATATTCAACTTTTCTGAGAATTGCTATGTGGTCATAGAAAACAGCTTAAGACATTACACCACTGCACTTCCCCTCCCCCAACATTTCCTCGGCTCCAAAAGTTTTTGAACGTAGTTAATTATGATATTTTTCTTGGCTTTAAATGTCTTATAGCATAGTAACTATACTTTTGATACAATCAGTTTTGTTTTTTCTAAAAATTTCATAAGAGAGATAACTTCATATGCAAGAAGTCATACCTCTTGTCCTAACCTTTAAATCAACGGATACATCAAAATTGTAAAATGTAAAACTTAAAGAACTCAGTCACAAAAAGAAGAAATAGCATAGAATTGTTCTTCTCATAGAATGGATTATGGGAGGATTTTTATCATGAGATCCTATTTCTATTCCCAAACTTTACATTTTGGCCGAGGATGCCTTCCCTAGGAAGTCAAGAAGAATAGAGGAGCATGCCATGAAAAGAAAAATGGAACCTCTGCCTGAGGAGCAATGAAAGCCCAGACATCAGCGGATAGCAGCCACAACCACATATCCCACTTGGCAGCAATTTGTGAATAAACGAATGAGTGACTACGTTAATTCGAAAAGATAAGTAACTTTTGATTCCAAGTATTCAATACTATTATGTCTAAAAATATACAAAGTGCTTGTCAAGAGTTATCTAAATTGTTTTGCCTCAAGTGAGGTTTTATTAGTTGTTGAAGCAAGAAGTAGAAAAAATTATTATCTATGAAACATTTTGTTCACATCAAGAATCATACCATTCAGTCAAGAGACTGTTTTATTCGATTTGGTGAGATAAAATGATTTACTCCTAGCACCTTTGTTTAATTTGGATATAAGAAACTGAAAACTTTTCAACTGTATTTAATATAAATGCATGTTTCTGAATGTAAAAAAATGTGTAATTTTATAAAACTAGTTGTAACTATATTCAGAAATTAAAAGTTAAAAACTAGTAAAGTGTAAATGCTAGCAGGAGAAAAAGTTAAAAGCTAGCTTATGTAAGTGAAATGATAGTTAGGCTCACCGTCTGAACACAAAGTTAATGCATGTTGAATAAATACACTAGAATGAGTTTGGACATAGAGAGTATGACGAAGTATAGTGTGTCTGAGCTCATTAACATATAGGTTGTCACTCAGAGGGAGAAGTTATTATGCAAACACCACAGTTTTACTTGAGTTTAAAGATTTCGCTACACACATATGCTGCAGAGCTACGGGGTGGAAAATTAAAACTGTGAAAGTGAAAATGAAGTTTCACAAATTGTCTACAAATGCATGTATTATCTAAAACTGGTACTAATATTGGTTTTCTTCTAGATTCACGAGATTCAATGCAAAAGATGTTACTAAAGATGGCAGCTTGTGTTCCTTGAATGTGTATAGTTAAATTTCAAACTTAAAGTATTTAGTAGCATCATATTGTAAGGTTTACATTTTTTTGTTTACATTTTACAATTTTGATGTATCCGTTGATTTAAAAGTTAGGACAAGAGGTATGACTTCTTGCATATGAAGTTATCTCTCTTATGAAGTTAGTTTCAAGTTTAAGTTAGAATTTAATATTTTTGAACAGGTTATTTAAAGCCCTCATTTTCAAATATTTAAATTCTGGCGGTAAATACTGTAAAGACCTTATTTTATTCTAACCAATTATTTTTAGTTTGACTTTCCTTTCCCTATTGATTTCAGTTTCCTGCCAGAATGTAAATTTTAATGATGCAATAGGCAAATCTAAGTATGTTCAAAAGCAATATGTAAGCTGTGGTTTCAAGAGTTCACGAGGAGTAGTAGAATAGTTAGTTCCGAGTTCATGCTACGTTTTTGAAATAGCTCTCTAGTTGGTGTTAGCCACCCCTTCAGATTATATTGATATTCTAGGCTCAGCTTTGCTGTGTGCAGCCGATTTAGCCATTTAAATAAATAAGGAGCCAGTCATTCAGCCATACTAATTTATTGTGATTTTACATTTTTATTTTCTGTTCAATTTATTTAGCCACAAAGTGACAGTAAATTGTGAGCACCAAGTGAGTGCATCACTGTTACATTAGTTCAAATAAAAATGTTAGTTAAACCTAATTCTGTAATATCTGTTCTTCAAAGACATAGCAAGAACTCATTACTTCATCTTAGAAGAGTCTACAGTTTATGCTCCCAAAAAGACATAGACTCCACAACAGAGATACAAAATGGGAGGAACTTGATCATTTCTGAAATTTCCACATTCAAATGTCCAAACACATGACCCATTTAATCAATAACTCAACACTGTTTGTAAGGGATAAAAAAGGCCATTTAACTTATTAATCTGTCAGTAACTGTAAATACAAATATTAACATTTTTTCCAGTATGAGTAAAAAATAGAAAAAGAAATTGAGCAGTTAAATAATTCCTGCTTTCATTTTGCCTTGCCTTTTTCACCTTTTTATTAACATAAGTCTTCTTTTATTTTAATTTAATTTTTTTGACATTTTCAATAATTTTTTAAAGGAAATCTTGAATCAAGGAAATGATTCATTTTTCTTAAAATTCAGAATTTATAAATAATGATACAGTAAAATATTTTTTAAATACAACCACTATCATAAAACAATCCATCTAATTGTGTGAAATATATAAGTTAATAACAAAAATATTAAAAGCACACATTACATACATCTACTTTCAGTTTTTACAATAACAATAAAAACCTCCTGTGCTTAGCAAAATGTACAAACTAAATGTTTTACACAATGCAAAGACCGAGATCCAGATGTCCAATATCCGGTATTATCTAAAATCATTCGGACCTCAAAGTCGGCAACAACTTTTTTTTTTTTTTTTTTTTTTTTTTAAAGCACAAACGGCGTTAGCCCAGAAAGGCTATTGATTTCATTCTGGCATTTTGTGTTGATTCACTATAAAGGGCGACTTACATAAATTTAGTTAACATTAGAGCCCTGTATTACATTTAAAAAAATTAAATCTGCATAAATGTATGCATGTTTCTCGCATTGTGATAAAACAATGGTACTTGGTGCCATCAAATTTTGAATAACGTATGTCTCCACCCAAATATGGCCATCTGAAAGACCAAATTTGAAATTTAAAATTTATTTTATTATCTATTTCATATTTTGTAAAGCATTTATGAGTTTCTGATTAAGAAAATCAATAATTTCAAAGCCAGCAATGACAACACTGTATGAAAAAAACATTTTTATCTCCAGAGTGCGAGACTGTGTGCCAGAAATTCTAAAGACATGCTGTTTAAATATTTTGTGGTATTACTGTTGAACTCATTTTTATCGTTTATGTGCAAAGAAAATGATATTTAATAAATAAAGGTAACACATAAATGTTAAAAAAGATGTCCCTTTGGGACATAAAATCTAAAAACATTCAAATTCATTATTATTATTATTATTGTATGCTTTACAGATGCACATTTGATTTTTTCCCCATAATAAAACATATGGAGAGTTCCGATTCTTAATTTCACTTCAGCACTAAATAAAATACCTCGTTATTCAAGAAACAATCATTTTAGCATAAATTCTGTGATCAATGATTTGGCTCCATAGTTGCATATCTGCTTGGCATACATCTCAAACAGAAATATTATGACCAATTTTGCACTACTAATATTTTACATATGACGACAAACTGGTGAAACATTAATATTTTGCTTTCATCACCACATGTTTATCAATGCATGATAACTTGAGTAATGACTCATGCAGCGGTGCCTAAATAATCATTTTATATTAGTAATTGAATAGCAAAAGTATGTAACCTTACGCTTAATGATGATTACAGATTTAAATTAAATGCGCTAAGAAATGTTGACAAGGAAAAATTTAACAAAAATTTCTTTGCATATGCTAAAAACAGATTTTCTTAATGATACTTTTCAAATTAAAATATTTTTTCTTATTTAATACTTTTGTTTTACAGTTGTTGCACCTAATTGTTTTCAAATGCATTTTATAATCTTTATAAGACTACAATACTAATTCAGAAGTCAAACAACGAAAATCAGACAAACAACAAAAACAACAAAATTTGCAGTTTTGCAGTTGAGGATGGTGGTTTGGTAAAAACCATCAAAACTAGTCCTGCGAAAATTTTGAAAATATAACGCTGATTTTTGTTGCTTGACTTCTGAATTAGTATTTATTCAGCGTGTTATTGTGTCTTAATTAAGACTACAATACTTTAATAAACTAAATATCTATGTAATCAGAGCTCTTAAAAATCATCATTGATAAAATATTAATGATATTAAAAAGTAAAAGTATGTTTCAACAAATCTGTTTCCAAATCTCCCATTTAAAAAATAATAATAATAAATAAATAAGATTCAAACATTAAGTTAGAAAGCCAAGCATAAAAATTATAAATTTCTAATCACTTTCAACACAACAGATTTATGAAAAATTATTTCTTTTTTTGCTTGTATCAAATCTAATTATTTTATCCTCCCCCACCCCCATAATTAAGATGCTTAAAATTTTCAAACTATAGGATTTGCACTGAATATTAATCTGAATAAATAATTTGAATTTTTTTAAAAAAAGATGGAATAATAAACTGCTACATTCAATGGTACAGAATGTTAATCCTACAAGAGTTACTGATGTGATATAATTAAACTTAAAATTCAAATTACTTTAAAGTTTCCAATTTAAAATTATGAGGCTTCAGTGTGACCATACAGTTTAATTTAGACGAGATTATGGTTGTTTCTTATGGCTTTATTTGGAAATCAATCCACTTACAAAAAATGAGATCCATTTCCAGACAAGATTATGTTTCAGATATAATGGCTTCGTTGAACTCAGATTTCTGTAAACATTTTTAGTTGTAAAATAATAATGTAAATTTTATGAACATAACAAAATTACTTTAATGATAAAATTTAAAGACCAATTGTGCCAGGCTATTATCCAACAAATTGCAATACATACAATGAATTTTCACATACACAAAAAATGTCACTAACTAATCACTCGATATAATAAGAAATATTATACCTATGCCACAGCAAACATCAATAACAGTTGTGGAGTTTTTAACTTTGCATAGTTTCAATAATGTGTCATTCACACTTTCAACAATTTTAGTGTTTGTTAAGAAATATGATCCTGGTGAAATACGAAGCTTCAGACCATTCAGCTCTTCAATAACACATGGTTCCCCAAGCAGCAGTTCAAATGGAGCCTGTTCATGACCAGGAGATGATAGAGAGCTATTTAAACGAAAATTAGAGAAAAGAAGACTTTAATAAATATTAAAACCTGAAAATTTATCTTCTTAAAATTACAGATTTTTAATTAAAATTTATAAAAATGCACATTCAGAATAGTGAATTATGTCAGCAGGTGCACCAACTTCAGTATCTTTTTGCCCAACTTTCAATTTTGTATACTGAAATTTTTGTCTTCCTGCCCGCTGGCTGAATTGCTCGTTTTGGCACAGAAACTCTAAATTTAATCATTAAAATTGCTTTTTTAACTGCTTTTGACTGCATTTGATGTTTTAGATTTTTCAGTATTTTACAATGTTTAATGAAGGCATTTTGAGTTTTTATCCATTTTTGCCTTGCTGTAAAGTAAGAACTGACTGGACTTTGTACTGTATATATGTAGTAACTGTGGTCACCCGTAATTTAGTAATATATATATATAAATGCAAAATAACAGTGAATATATATACATACATACACATACACTTTCATTTTGTTAACACAAATTCTGACCCACCAACTGCTTTCAGATCATGCATTTGATCTGCATGCAATTTGAGACCACTATGCTCAAAGGAGTCAATAATTTCCATGAGAAAAAAAAATTCATTAAGATATCGCCGCAAATGTAGTAACAATGGGATATCATATTCTTTATGAATATTATTAAATAGTTAGTAAAACTTCATGTTTTATGAGTCATTAATTAGGTAGTTTCTGAAACTTCATGTACCAACAGAAAACAACGAAACTTCAACAGAAGATTCTACTTATGCGACACAATATGAAAGAAAACTGAGCTGAAATGCTATAAATGAATCATGTAAAGGTATTTGAAGTTTATCAGGCTACGGCTAGAAATGGTTTTTGATTTATTTTAAATATTATTTTGTTATCATATATAATAATAAACAAGCTAAGAAGCTACGATGCGACCAATTTTTCAATTCTAATCTTAATTTGTATCTGCATTAGACAATATATTAAGTTAAAAGTGAGCCTTCATTATCACTATTCCTACTTAACCATGGTGAGAAGGATTTCTACTATCTATTTTCTTATATGTTACAATATGGTCCTGAAACTTATGGGTAATCAAAGTGCTATCATAAAATCATGTGTTTACTGAAAATGCAAATCTCAACCAAAAACATTCTTTGCATTTTTCATGATTAATTTTCACTATTTATAACTTATAAGCCAATCAGGTGGAAATTCCTAAATCGGCTTCACATAGTCTTGCCTAAATCCAGTAGAAAATCCTACACTGTATTTTTTCGCTGACCATTCATGAAGTAAATTCGCTATATAAATTATACATGAATTTATTTATCAAGATTTATGGGAAACTATCAAAATCTTCATTTTAAAAATTAAGCTTAAATTTTTATTTAAAACTATTTGATTCTGATATGTAATTTTAGGATAAGCTTGGTTATAATATATCATTTGGGTTTTTATAGATAGATATATATACAGCTTCTTAAATTGTATATTCGTATTAATTTTGTGTCACATAAAGAGACTTGATGTCTCTTCTCATGTCTGTGCTAATATTTTAAACTGTATAAAGTATTTCTCCCATTTTCTTAGCATGCCTTCGTAGCATGCCAGGCTGGGAACGTATTCCAGAGCTCCGGGGTTCGATTCCCAGCATAGGAGTTGCTCATTTTTCATCTCTTCTGCTTTCAAAAAATACCTAATATCTCTACAGTGGTGCCCGAAGTAAAAGGGTGGTGGATGAGGATTCTCCATACCCAGGGCTTGGCGATTGGTCCCTAAAACACCAGTCGCCCTTCAAAAGGGAGAGTATATAAGGTATTTCTCCCGCCTTCATAGCGTAGTGGTCAGCACACTGGGCACGTATTCTAGAGGTTCATAGTTCGATTCCCACGAGGGCGTAGCTCATTTTTCATCTCTCTTGCTTCAAAAAAAAAAAAAAAAAAAAAATCTAATGTCTCTACAGTTGATTTTATTTTCATCACTTTAAACTTTTTCCTGCTGTCTTACCTATGTAGCATAGAAACTTTTCAGTACTGGTTGGAAGGAGTGAACCAGATTTACCAATTTTTCACAGCAAATGCCTTGGGGAAAAGTCTTTGTTATGTAGTTGCAATTATAAATTGCTGAAATAATTAACTGAAATGTAACTTATATCACTTTAATTGTATTCTTCGCAATTTAATACAGTGCCTGACAAACTTTAGTAGATATGTACTACCTTAGTTAATTAAAAAAGAGCATTTATCTAAAACAGAATTAAAAACTTCACATGGTTAAATAGACATTATATAAAGTTCATGAAATCAGGTTTAACCGTGCCCAGCACATAGCCCAACTATGGCTCTCCTGATTTCTACTTACTCCAGATAATAGTCCGGTTTCTGCTATGCAACTATTTTACTAATTAAGACAATTTTAATTAGTAAAATAGTTAATCTTACTTAATCTTAATTAGTAAAATAGTTTAAAAATTTAATAAATGGTAAAAAGTAGAACTAATTAAATTCAACTACAAACAGATAAGTTTTAAACTGTTACACATACCGTACACTTTGAAAGCTTTCTTGAATATTTTTTCAAGAATATTTTTGGACCTTTGAGTAAATAAAACTAAGAACATCTGGGGAAGGATGGCTATTGCAACATTAAAATAATGCCTGGAAATACCTTCCTTAAGTCTACTTTTTTAACAAAAGAAATACATGTAGTACATAGATAAAATAATGCATAACACATATTAAAAGTTGCAATAAATGTTTCCAATTTTTTTCGATTCATGTTTGAATGACAAGAAGGACAATCATGAATCTTTTAACTAACCATATGTTTATGAATAGTACACATGGATATTTGCATTATCTTGTTGAAACGTCCATTCCCCTGACATAAAAAATGGTACATTAGGTAGCACATGTTCTACCAATATATCTCAATATTTTATCCTGCCAATTATCACAGCTAATGGGTCATATACACATTTTCATTTCAAATATTACATTATTTAACATTTAATGAATTTCACAATCAAGAAATATAAATATAATTTAATTCATGATAAGCAATATTTTAGATATGATACAGAACAACATAAAAGTCTAACAGCAAATACAAGAAAAAGCTGGGATACTTACAAATTATTCCATCGACCATGAAACTGTCGCCAAGCAGCACAATTTAGTACCAGTTATACATAAGTGTCAAGTCACAACACACTCATAACATTTGCCCTTTCATTTGATGTAACTCCAAATGATTCTCAATAAGCCATCTTTGACTTTTATGAACAAGAATATATATATATATCAATTTTTATTGCTCTATTTTGTCGATGCATTTTAAAAAAAGGTGGGTTATGGGGTGTAGAATAATATCTGTGAATACATTCTGATTCATTTATAACTTCTGCATTAAATGGGGGGGAAAAAGAAAAAAAAACAGCTTGATATAGCTGAGAAAACAGCAATAGATTGGAGATTGGAATAATCACCTGCAGGAAGTTTGCTTTCATAGTGTTCTAAACAGAACTTTTAGGAAAATTGGAGTACCTAACAAAACAGCAGAAATTGGTGAAAGCTTTTTACTTCTTTGTTTGAAGTAAAAAGGAAGTATTGCAAAGTTTCAGGCAGCATATTTAAATGAAAATCTCGAATGCAATTTAACGATGTTTTTGCGTGTTATCTGTAACGTAAGGTCAGAATAAAAGACTCTTTTCCATCAAAAAAATTATAAAACTGCTTTAAAATGAATTCTGAAGAGAATTTTTTGTGGCGTCTGTACGTACGTACATATCTCGCATAACTCAAAAACGAGTAGCCTCAGAACGCTGAAATTTTGTAGGACTGCTACAACACGTAGATGTGCACCTCGTATTTTGGTTGCAATCGGCCGCACCAAACGTATATAAATATATTTATATATATATCCAGTCTGTTACCGGCTCAGTGATCTCGGTTTCTTTACTCTTATATGTTTATAAATTGTACATGTTTTGCTTTAAAATGATTGAATTATGTTGTTCTTATCTTCCAGTTAAGGTTTTTATGCCTTTAGTAAATCTGTATGCAATATTTTTAGAATTATCAACAATTTTATAGTTGTTTAAGTGCCGCTAAGCCTAATAATTTTTTGGATGGTGGCCATTACTTGTTTACATTTGAAACAGCAGGATAGTGGATTTGTTGCCAATCTAGAGAAACTTAGCTTCGCAACAGCAAAGATAACACCTTCATTTATTATTGCGAATTAAATCATGCTTAATTCCATCTGGAATTTTTTCGAGGAAATAAGTGTTTAAGATTTACTTTCGTAATTTTTAATACAGATATTTTGAGTTTTTATGTATTTTTGCCTTGTTGCGAAGTAAGAACTGGATTAATTGAATGAGAAATACTCAATCGTATGTGAAAAACTGTTTCTTTTTTGTTTTGTTTGCTTAATTTCTTTTATACATCGTTCTAGTTTTATTATAGTATTTGAATAGAACATGTGGCAATGATTAGATAATTCTTTAAATGATATAAATTTTGTGCATTCTGAGTTATAATATATGAACTCGTATTTTCGTAAGTATTAAGATGTGCCTGCTCATGCAGCTGAAGTTTCTTCGCCCACGGGTGTTGGTACTTCTCTTAGTACCATTCATTTGGAAATATGTTTGCCTAGTGCACTTTAATGTGATCTACTGGCAAAAACTCTTTAGTAGTTAATGACCAGAAAAGAGTAAGTCATAAGTCATAAAGTTATAATATGAACAAAATATAATACTGTTAAGTGAATCTAGTGCCAGAGTGTCGCTATGGTAAACAAATAGAGTGAATTTTAAAGAATGCATTTATTCTCTTGTGGTTTATGCGCTATTTAATTCAATCCATTAAGTTTAAATGAAATGCAAGAAAAAATGCATATAATTTAATATTCCGTACAAGGAAGACATGTGGTGTACACATCAGATTTTTTACAAAGTGCAAAAGTGAAGCGCAAACTATTTGGCCAATTATGCATAAATGTTTTATTGTATGAGTTGCAAACAAAAATGAGAGTCAGAATTCAGATTGATCCAATTTTGGGACAATATCCACCAACTTTCTTGATTTGATGGTATCCAACTTTCGTGGTCAATCAGAAAATACATAAATACAAAAATTTGTAATATTAAGCCTCAGTAAAATACCTAGTTAAAGTTCATAATTTTACTTGTCATAACAGTTATTTGAAACTCTATTAAAATGCCATTTGTGGCTTAAAAAGAGTTTTTCTTCCCAAAGAATATATGTAACAATTTATAATGATACTTTCTAATATATCTACTATTGACACACGTAAATTTATTTAAAAAAAAAAAACATACCATGCTTGAAAATATAATGATCTAAGATTATAGGACTTTGGTATAGTTGAAAAGTAGTTTTTGAGTTTTTCTTTCTCAGTCTGCAGTTCTTCCTATTAGAAAAATGAATGACATTATTACATTCAAAATTAGCACAATGCCTAAATTTAAATTTAGTACAATGCTTAAATTAGAAAATAAGATAAAAAATGACTTTTCTTTTTTATAATTACAACTTTATGAAACTAATTGCACTTTTACTTCCATGAAATTAATATAATCATAATTAGTATTAAAAAACAATTGTGTCTACAAAAATTTTTGTTGAAGAAAATTTAACTACTTTTGTTAATGCTTGTGGGTTCATCACAACAACAGCCATCAAATCATTTTTTTCATTAGAGCGAACAGAAATATTTCTCCAGTATCCTCCATCATCATGCATTATACTTGCAGGTAATGAAGACTGCCTGATATAATTTTGAAAATCCTAAACAATAAAAAGAGCAAAAGCTTAAAAAAAATTCATTTTTGAAATAATAAGAATTACATATAATTTACCAACTTATTTTAAAGAATAAGTAGTAACACCATGTAGCCAAAAGTAACCAGACACCATTAGAGGGTTAATAGCCACATTTTAGTTTAAAAAAATAAGCACCTATAAACACTTTTCAAGCACATTTTAATGGAAAAAAAAGCATCTGTTTAATAACATACATACACAACTACATAATCTTTAAAGGAAAATGAGACTTGTAATTTAAAATATGAGAAATTCATATTTATTATGAGATAATTAACACTACTGAACCACAGAAAAAATTACCATTATTTTTAAATTTTAAATAACAGTTCAATTCACAGAACTAGTTTACAATAAGGGGGGAAAACTATACAAAACTAAACTATATTACAAAATCTAATGATGAAATTTCAATTAAAAATGTATAGAATAATAAACCAATATAATAAACGATAATAAACCATAGATTTATTTAAAAAATTAGTCTTTTGCACATTCAGCCTTTTCAGCAAGTTCATTTGCTTTATTTTCAAGCATTTTGATTTCTTTTTCTAAGACAGTTTTCTTTTTTTTAAGAGAAATCACTTCATCTGTTGATTCTGCTTTTCCTTTTTTCTCTTGAACATTTCCCCCCCTCCCTGCTAGTCCAAATATAACTGATATTGTGAATGAGCTGATGAAGCTACCACTTTCATCTCTTTCGCAACCGATTCATTGCGGGTCCCAGCAGCATGTTTCACATAATCAAAAACTATGCACTGGGCAATGTATGAATTTTTCCCCAGATTTTCTGTTTGTATATTTTTATTGGTACTAAATTCTCATTCAGCAAAGGCTTGCCCATGGGAAAGAATAAAAATCATTTTAAATGTCCCCATAACTTGAAGCATTTTTCATTAATGAATGTGTGCAAAAAAAAGTATCTAATCTCCTTTTTTTCACATCATAGATTTAGATTTTTAAATTCTGTAAGATATGGTTGGATAAAATTTTCGATGAAATCAGAATATTCCAAAAGAATATTAGCACATTTATCTTCTGCAATGACACCTTTCTGGAGAAAATGCATCAACGTACTTTTCATTTCTCCATACCCTTTTGTGTACTTTGGAGCGATAAAAATAGCATTTCGAATTAGTGAATAATTAATTGAATATATCTTCATCAGCTTTTCAAATAGTTGTAAAAATAAAAGTTTGTGAGTCATGCTAAGAGAAAGGTAATCTTTATCCATGATTTCTTTTTTAGCATATGGTTCTTGCAAGAGCTTATCAGTCCGAAATTCTAAACTAAGTTTGCCTACACAATACCTTTCTGATAAAAATCAAAGTTACACAAATATTTCATTGATGATTTAATATAGCATAGGATAATTTAATATAGCAAAGGCCTAAAAGAGGGGGAAAATCACTCTAGATATTTTTAAACTTTTTATTATTTAATAAATTACCTCATAAAAATTTTCAGTGTGAAATAAATATATTAACCCCTTAACTGCCGCGGGCGTATATATACGCCTTGCTCAGCCGATGCGTTAACTGCCCCAGGCGTATATATACGTCCTTCCAAACTGCTATCATTTGCTTTGCGCTGATACACCTAAAATTATTCGCAAAGTTAACGCATCGGCTGCGCATCTGGGCGCATCTGGGGCAGTTAACGCATCGGCTGAGCAAGGCGTATATATACGCCCGCGGCAGTTAAGGGGTTAAATATTAAAAATTACTTACATTACTCGGTTTTGCAATGCTCACGAGTATTCAAAGTTTTGTTGCCTCTGCTTGCATTTACTTAACATTGTTTACACTTACGGGTAGGGTTGGCACAAGTATCAATTTTCTTTTTGTTAGATACAGAAAGTTTGTCAATTTTGGATGAAATGTACATCTTTTGAAGCTCCTCACCCATATTCAATATAAAATTATGATGACTGATGTTCGTATATTCAGTTGCTTAATTATAAATTATCCAAGCATTTATCCCAGCCAAATCAAGAACATTTTTTAAAAATTAAAAAAAAAAAAAAAAATAGCTACAGTTGGCTAACGTCTGGATTAAGAGTAGTTCACTGAGTAGTATTCCCAAATAGGGAAATCTATTCAGTAAATATTTTGATTGCATATCAGTGGCAAGACAAAAGTTAATGCTGAATTTGTCTCACATTTTAGGCATATAAGGAAAAAATCAGCATTGGGTCATCATTGGAAAACAATTGTTCATCTGATATTACATTTTCGACAAGTTTGTAACAATTTAAGCAGTTTTCTATACAAGCATTCCAAATATCTGAAACAAGGGCAAATGGATCAGATTGCAGTCTTTGCCACCTAGCTGATTTCTTTTGAATTGCAAAGATTTCATAATTTCCTGAAATTTGTCCCTAACCATTGCCTCAGTGAAAAATGGCAGGCCCCAAGATTTTGACCAATTCAAAACACACAGACTTTTTGCAACCAAAGCTCCACGAACATACAACAGTGAAATGAAAGCATTTAATTCATCGAGTGGCAAACTAATATTTGGATTTGGGGATTTCTTACATCCTCTTCTTCAGTACACTGCTGAATGTGATGGAATATTTTTTTGTTGATAAACGATCTCCATACACTACTTGAGTTACCTTCAATTCTATTTCTCTTTGCATACAAAGTTGGCCCAGCTACTTCTCATATGACATTCCGCCGAGCACGTCACCCTGCAACACTTGTCAAAATATTTTCTGTTTTCCAAACAGAACCATCATTCGCTGTTTCTTCATCATTCTGAATTTCCTTGCTTTGGATATATATTCCTCGAGTTCTGTTTTGTTACCTTTCAGTACTTTCTCAAGCTTGACTACTACCATTGATTTCACTTCCGAAAAACTATACTAGTAGTAAAATTTTCTTGACCTAAATTTTTACTTTCCTTTCCTGTTTCATAAACAGATTCTCCATTGGACGAATCGGAATCACCTGTTTCAGTAGGAACAATCCAGTCCTCATCGGATAAACTGAATGTAGTTTTGGTATGAAATTCCTCATCAGGTTTGGATTCTGAAGCAGTATTATCATCAGAAAGATTTTTAAAAACTTTCAGCATCTCTTCCTTCGTTAGATATTTTCTATCAATGTATCTATATGACATGATTAACAGGTCTGAACAACAAAACTATCCAAATTAAGTAAAGTACATTTGTGTCTACTAAAAAATAACCTTTGTAACAGAAGGCGAATACGCAGACACGTGGAGCTCAAGACTCCAAGCAGGTGTTTTTATTCCCCTTCCCTCCCCATTCACTTCTGTGAAATATGTAATACACACGTTTATCTATCAGCAAATCAGAAATAGCTAAAAAAGTCATAAAAATAATGAGAAATATGTAATTTCTGGATACAGTCAAAATGACCAATAGTCGTAATTCTAGGTATAAACAATAATATTGGCGAAAATAATTATTTAAAATGGAAAAAAAAATATCATGCAATATTTGTAAGTTTTTAGAAAAAGTCAAAAAGTATCAAAGTTATAAATAAGGAATTAAAAACGTTATATCCAATAAAAATACAATAATATTGGCGAAAATAATTATTTAAAATGGAAAAAAAAATATCATGCAATATTTGTAAGTTTTTAGAAAAAGTCAAAAAGTATCAAAGTTATAAATAAGGAATTAAAAACGTTATATCCAATAAAAATGCAGATACAGTGAAAATGATCGTTGCGGTAATTCTAGTGTCAACGATTTATAAATAATATTACTGTGCCTCACTAAGCATTCATACTATGGTGTAATGTCGAGTGAAGGAAGAAAGCCTAGCCAGAGAAGTCAAGTGCAGGTAACAAGCCTAGCCAGATTAATGACTCACTAGCAATTTCCGGTCTCTCTGAAAAGATCCTGCAATGACAGTGGATGGTCCAGAGAGTTTTTCTTCAGATGGAAGGAGGAGAAAGGAGGGCCTGAGAGATCAAAAGAGCCAAGGAGATTTTGGACAGCATCACCGGCTATTGGTGGCCATCTTTGCCTGTCTGTGATGAAGATGAGCATTTATTCAGAATGCATATTTCAGTTGTAATCAATTTAAGCAAGAATTTTGTTCAAGTTCACTGCTAGAAATTTAAAAAAAAAATTTTTTTAATTGATGTTCCAGTTCTTGTATCATGTGGATGATCACAATGGTCTATGCAATATGCTACAGTTTGACAAAAACCTATTTCATATCGTGATCTTTTCCGAGAAAAAAGTTACCCCAAAGCAGGGTTCGTACACATTTCTGCACACAGAAATTAAGTACTTTTAAGGACCATTTTTTCAGACGTTCTCCAAACAGTAAGAAATTCACCACAAACTTTCTGTAGAATATATTCGTTATGTGTTAATACCATGAAGACATTTTTCATTTTGTCACATTTTCTAGAATCTTCTAGAATTGTAGGTCTATAAATCTTGCCTTCAAATCTTTCTAAACTTTCCAATTTGCAATGTCTAAAATCTTAAAGAAAAATTACCCCTGCCAATTATGTAATAGCAAAAAGACACAAAATTTTGGGAAAAAAAAATCAGAGAGAGAAGAAAAAGTGTAAAATTCAATTTATAGAGAAAACTGATGCATATTCTGAGACAATTACATGGAAAAAAACTCTTACCATGAAAAAATTAAAAAGGACATTTTTAATTAATTACATAGCTGCTTTTGCTAAGAACTGTAAGCCATGAGCAATGACAAAAGCTAAATTTGTGCATGCATCAATGTGTCTACAACTTTCTCACGCTGTTCTCCTGCTCGATTGATTTCCTGCGTTCGCTCTGCTTGTTTTGTGACAGTGAAATCTTTTGTAGAACGGCGCTTCATTTTAGCTTCGCTCTGATTGGTCGACGTTTATCCCAAACTCAGCATAAAGTTGAAAACTTTGAACCCTATGCTATGAACCGTAAACGATTTTGTGACATAGCACAGACCGGTTGCCTTGGAAACAGAGCTCAG